TTAAAAACAGACATTGACTTTTGAGAAAGTGGACAGTTTAGTAAAATGTAACCTAGATATAATTTGCGAATCTCGGACTTTAAGAATTAAAACTTAAGCATATAACCCTGCTCCTGATAATAATCCAACGAACTCAGAATATTGCTTTCTACAGAAGTAATACACTAGGCGCAAAACCTACGATGTTTATCCGTTTGTATACCCAAATATTATCAATGGGAACCAATTATATACTAGCGTTTCAGGGGTGCTTGAATATTAACATTCATATCGCGAGTCCACTGCAACGCTAAGGATATCAGACAAAAAATTGTAGGACAGAGGCAATGTTTACTAAGGCAGGATATAGAGAAAAATTTTGAGACATAATTTCGAGAGAGAATGAGAGATAATCTCTAGAAATTGCTGGATTGGAAGTGTATAATTTGACTTCTGACGTGGCTTGCTTGAATTGATTATCCTATCAGATGTTAAATACATTGGGCATATTGAGGAAAAAACATGTCAAATATTGTGGCGTACTGGTGTACACACTTATTTGAATGATACTGAGGAAGCTGAATGCCATTGTTGCATTAAGCCCTCGTAAGTCTATGTTATTCTTTAGGAATTTCAACCATTAAAATGGATATGAATAGCTTAAGAAGCGTTTACATCAAATGTGAGAGTAGTACCAGAAAACTCTAAAAATAAATCTTCCCTGAGTACATATGTCTGTCAAATATTAGATGAGCGTTTTGATGACAGAAAATCTTGAGCTTAGTAATTTGCATAGGGTTGTTTGATAGCTTAATTTTAACGGAGCTCCACAAAACTCCTAGATCATGAAAGTCTTAAACACAAAGGTAAATTAATTGAAACGTTAACTGTGAGTGTATTTGTAATCAAATTCTACAACTTTCTGGTTCCACTGTCCCGTGCTAAGTAAATGAAATACAATACGCTCTTTGATATTATGACTAAAGTTTTAAAATTCTTAGCAAATTACTAATCGATGGCATATTTCACATTATTTTGTAGACATATCTAGCAATATCTTTGTTTAAAATTTTTAATCACTGCGATTTTTATTTGCAAAAAAGAAACAATTAAATATTAAATTATACAAACGTAGGAGTATGCTAGAACTTACCTGGTTGTGATTGGTTGAAATTAGCTTATTTTATGCTCGGGGCACGTGTGACTGGTCAGAGCTGCCTGAGCGCATTTAGATTAAAATACTGAGTTATTTTGTTTGCTATCAGGGGTTAAATAGTTTTCTAAATTATAACAAAAGCATGGCTACTTTTTTAGATTTTATTTTGTTACTAATCGTATTATATACTCTATTTTTTGCACTTTTATTAAAAAAGGAGCCAACCTTAAAATTAAGGTATGCATTTCGAAATTTTAATGAAGCTTTTATTGAATAAACACGTTATAATCTTTACCATACTCATTAAAAAATACTTTAAGCAATATGTGTGTATTACATGATATTTCGCTTGGAAACATGAATGAACTACAAGTGGATCACTCATTTTTTTAACATTCGCCACAAGTTTTCCCAATTAGCTATTTTCATGTGCCCATTTAGAGATATCGAACATGTTGTAAACCAGGCCTGAGTGTAAACTAACGCGAACCTTATGACGGATTTTAGTAATTATTTGCTCACCATAAGCCCTACTTCTAAAATAATCAGTAGCGAAGCTAATAAATCAGTACATTGGTGAAGCGGTCATCATAGTAAGATTTCCTTTGGAAGTTGAAGCCACACAGTTTACACAAACTCAATATTTTAAGGCGTTTCCCCACCTGGTCCAGAAGTCCACGAAATCGCTGAATTAATCAGTCCACTTAAGAACTTCAAACATCTGGAGAAATTTCTCACACTCACCAACTACAACCTATATATATATACATATATATATATATATATGACGCCTTGTCTTTGTTGAGATTTACTGGTCATCAATTTGAAATATTTGCGATGGTGAAAGAACATGGAACATAATGTAGGTATAAGCTCAACTTCGTGTTATCTCTTAGAAATTTGACATTGTTGCAGAAGAACAAGAATTGCTGTTACGTTCCCTCTCAATGATCAATCAAATAAACCTACATCGCAGTCTAAGTGGAGTAAGACTTAGAACCGATCTTTGTGAATATGAGCTCTTCCACCATTTAGGTGCCTTGAAAAATGCGATCAAGCATTTTGAATCCAAGAATACACCCTTTTTAACACATTGTCGCGATTAATAGTAAGCAAGCTGAATAGGCTTCGATGTCTTACCTATTAGATTGGCAACTAAGTCATTGCCGATTTCAAATAAGAAGGCAAATTCGGAATTTTTGTTTAAAAATATAACTTTATTCAATTAGATATTGGCCGTTCTTGTCTATGACCTTTTTCCATCGTTCTGGCAGAGTAAAAATTCCCCGTTCGTAAAATGTCTGGTCTTTGCTATTAAAAAACTGAATTAGGTGTGATCCGACATCATCTGCGTTGTTAAAAATTTTGCCATTTAAAGAGTTTTGCATGGAACGAAACAAATGGTAATCCGAAGGCGCAAGGTCAGGGCTATATGGTGGGTGTGACAAAACATCCCAACCCAGTTCCAATAATTTTTGCCGAGTAATCAAAGATGTGTGGGGGGAGGGCTTGCGTTATCATGATGGAAAACAACACCCTTCCGATTTGATAATGCCGGCCGCTTATCTTCAATTGCATCCTTCAGCTTTTCGAGTTGTTCAACATACTCATTTGAATTTAGCGTTTGGTTCTGCGGCATGAGTTCAAAATACAAAATTCCTTTGTGATCCCCCCACCAGACTGACAGCATAATCTTTTTTTGGTGAATCTCTGCTTTTGATACTGTTTGGGGTGGTTGATCTTGCTTCACCCATGATCTCTTGCGAGTAACATTGTTATAAGCTATCCACTTTTCGTCGCCCGTAACTAGGTTCTTCAGAAATGAATCATTCTCATTGCGTTTCAGTAGCGAATCACAGATGCTAATCCGTTGCGTCAAATGAATTTCCTTTAACTGATGAGGAATCCATAAATCAAGTTTCTTGACATAACCAAGGGTTTTTAATTTTTTTTCAATGCATGTATGCGACACATTGAGCTTCTCTGCAATATCTCGTGTTGTGCTGTGACGATTTGAATCGATAATGGCCTTGATCTGGGTTTCATCCACTTCGACTGGGCGGCCAGATCGTTGTGAATTTTTCAGTGAAAAATCACCGGAACGAAATCTTTCAAACCAATTTCGACACTGCCTTTCTTTTAAGGCTTCATCTCCATATACGGCACATAACTTCTTTTGTGTTTGCGATGCGTTCTTGCCTTTTCGGAAGTAATACAATAAAATGTGTTGGAAGTGCACGTCCTGTTCTTTCATTTTTAAATTGGGATAAAAACAAAACTAAAGAACTAAACAAAAAGAATTTTTTACTAATTAACCTAGAAGCCCATACAGTAAGAAAAAAATATAGGTTAGATGCTCTGGCCACGTTAACAAAACAAAAGAAAGTATAGAGTGAATCCGTCAACAAAAACGGCAATGACTTAGTTGCCAATCCAATAGTTCTGCTAAAATATATTTTTTAAATGAATGTGAATGAATGCTGAAAGGCAGATTAAGGATACTCCCTCTCATTATTCGCATGCAAGCCCTAGACGACTGCAACTAATAAGAAAAGTAGCGATTTCTAATCTCTGTGCATTTTTCGTCTCGTCAAATCATGGCAACTCATATTTTAATTAGTGTTAATGTATTTTCTACCGAATTGACGTTGTAATACACATGATTCAAATTGCGTATCAGTTTTGCTGCTACCTTTCATTAAATATTTGAGCTTAAATCCCCCCAAACATTTATGGCTTCCTGGTTAGGAAAGTATATTCACCCAAACTTGGGTACTCTGCCACCATATTTAATCGAGACATTTCGATATTGTAAATCCCGGGGTGCGATAGACTTACCTCCACGTGGTGCACCCTGGGCAACGTATTCTCATACGGCAAAAAAGTCTATTGATCGGCAGTTGACTTCTCACTTCAAACTTCTATGGCCCGACTATTTGTCATATTCGACCCAATACAGTACTCATCTTACCCTTTCTGAGCCTTTATGTCTGTCTTTTTTACCTCTGGGAATCATTATTCTGTCTCCCATCTCGACTTTTTTGTCACTTTGATGTTCCTTCTCTCTGTGAAGGCCCGAAGTCAGCTCCAGGGCTAATGATAACTATCAAAATGCCTGCCATTTGATATAAATAAATAAATATTGTTAAATCCCAATAAGGTTTTCAGATTATGCTACAATTAATACTGAGCTTACATCAGATGTTTTCTTAGTCCTCGAATTCGTTGTGCTTAGTTCAAGATTGAGTCTACCAACAAATTCAAAACATCAAGGCTCCGTCAAGCTCTGCTTTCATGTAGATACTACGGAATGCTACGGAGGCCTCTCAATCTTAGGGAAAATTGTATTAAAGTTAAGGCACTAACCTACTCAAATTGGGCAATACTCTCCCATACGTACTTTTCTTCGTAGACAGGCGTTTGATATCACCTATTTTGGAAAACCTTGTTATCTGAAATTTGTAGTGAGGTGACTAATTTTTTGGTTCCTTGGAACCCTTCACGTCCCCCCCCCCTTTTCCATGCATCATCCTTCCATCTCTTTATTTTCTTGCCCCACCTGACAAATATGACTGGATGTAATCTAGATCCACTCAAAAGATACGCGTTCTTGTCAGATGAATACACCCAACACCACTTAGCGAAAGACGAATCGAAAAGAAAATATTGATCCACAATACTTGTATTCCAGGATGACAATAAAAGCATAAAATGCACTCGAGGTAGAAGTACATACAATAGCATAACACCAATCAATCCTGGAATTTTCACATAATTACAAACTTCAAGAAAAATATATATCCACACACTATAACTATCAGTAAATTTGATATAAAAAATTACAAAACCATTCGAGCTCATCGTGTTAATTTGATGGCCCAGACTTTATGCTCATGGCACCTTCTGTGAAGCCTTCTACCCAGCGCCTTGAGCACTTGGCGTTGAGTAGCCAAAACGTATGAAAGAAATCATTATGCGATCCATTCCGTATTCCGGCAGACATGTGCTTGATTTTCAATACAAAATCGTATATATCACACAGACGTCTGTCAATATCAACACCTTTTCCTTGAAAGTAGATGGTCAAGCCAGTCATAGTGTAGAGATTGGCGTGCTTATATTGTCGTTGGTTCTTGTCGTGAGTCGGACCTAGAGTAGTTGAAATAGTTAGCATTTTCAATACTTAATTAAAGCATAGAAAAACCAAACTCACGATATAATTCAAGAAGGAAACTGGCTACATACGCCCTTTCCATATCGTCGAGATTCACAGTCCTAAGCGCTTCCAACAACTCAAAGATTCCATTCGAAAATTCCCACTCGTCCAGAATTACATTTTTATAGATATCGTCTTGGTGCAAACCCTCCTCACCTTCTATCGCGAGAATTTGGGAGAAATGATCAATAACGTAGAAAACAAAGAATGTCAGTAGAGTGTAGTGGGTTGTTTTTTCAGGATCATTATGTACCTGCAAAGGTAAGGTGAAATTATCAATTGGCATAATACAGAAAAATTAGGGTTAATGGAGGAGAGGAGCTTACATATAGAAAACCGGGAATAAACTTAGCGAAGGAAAGCACTTCAATCGCTCGCACATTGAAAATTTCCGTGAGTACTTTTAATTTCGCATTCTGAAGGTAAAAAGTAATGTTACTTATCTGCTGATTTTAACATGTTTGATGAACAATTAGACTTACGCGTTCAACAATCAGACCACTAGTGAGCTTCTAAAACATTTGAAAATCAATTTTAATTTGAAGTCACATGAACCTAAAGGTTGGCCACTTAATGCAACAAAACTTACAGCTAATTTTCCATCTGCATCAATACATTTGAATTTAATATCTCGATAGGCATTCGTCAAATTGTAATTTGCTATTTTAAATGTTTCGGTATCTGCAGTTGCAACAAGTTTGCCTAATTCAAGGCTAGGAATAATTCTGCTCTCATGTTCCGGAGCAGGCTTTGATGACAAAACCATAGAACTAGCGGAGTCGGTCTGTCCCATCTCCGTCCCTGAAGCCACTATTGCCGTCGCCTCTATATTGGCGGGCACTACCATTGAACTGGTTGCTGCTGGTGGTCGAATCTGATCCCTGAACACCGGGGTATCCTGCTGGAGGGTACTGGTATCCATAGCTGAGGGGATTATATCCACCTGGCTGCTGGTGGTATATGTGTGGCTGTTGGTAGAAATTCTGGTTTCCGTCATTGTTGGCGTTAGGAGCGCTTGAGCAGATTGTTCGGCCATTGCTGCTGTAGCCGCCATTGAATTCGCTCCTGAAGCCTGCCCCGGGGTACGAAAATTTTGCATTGCTTGAACATTTGAGTGGTTTAGCATAGAAATCGGAGGTCCTTGGGGGTAGCCAAGTTGTGGTATACCGTATGGCAAAGGTGCGTTAAAGGGTATCGAATTTGGAACAGCAGTAGCTGGAGCATAACTTTGAGGTCTTTGAGTCAGTGGCGTTGACGGTGGCGGAGCCTGTAGGCCAGCTGCTTCAAGTCTTCTGCGCTCTCGATTCCTTTCGATCAAATCTTTCTTTGCCATGCGTTTGTTGTCATCCAGAACCACTGTAATTAAAAGTTGGTCAAATAAATGAAAGGAACACTTAAATTTTATTCTAGTTGAGTTTGCTTACAGTCCTTGTTCATGCCACCTGCGATACATTTATCAAAGCGACATTTTTGGCAACTATTGCGGTTCTGCTTGTGCATGACATTGCAATTATTATTGAATTTGCAAGTATATGTTAATTTCTTCTGGATTGTACGCCGGAAGAAACCCTTGCACCCTTCACACGTCATGGCGCGGTAGTGAAAGCCAGTGGCATTGTCTCCACAAACCACGCATTTGTCCACGTTATCCGGGTCCATGTAGCTTGGAACGTAAGGCTCTACAATGCAAGAAATTTAAGAATTAGATTTGAACAGCCTTCATAATTAAAAGCCCTCCTTATTCCACCCTTTTTAATTATGCTTAACTGAAATTGAAGTCAAATTCGTGATGTCCAGATGACCTCACCGATGAATAAACAGTATAAGGTCAAAAGTTCATTTTGGGCAATGAATCAAATTGAGTATAATTTAAACTTTCATTAACTTAATTTCTAATTTCGAATATTTCGTATGAGCACATCACTACATTTAAAAGTGATACGGTTTAAACATTACTAAAAATCAGAGGTAAGTATAATTTTTCAAGCAAATAAAAATTAAAAAGAATTTGAATTACTCTTTCGTTTGGGGGGTAAAATTGAAGATGGTCGATCGGATTCATCTTTAGGTCTGCGCTTCAACGTTTCATAGGATTGATCAGCTGTTGGCAGAGTGGAAGCAGGAAATGAAGAGTAGACACCGGTAGGAGTTGAATGATTTACAATCACTGGGTTATAGGAACCGGGATATCCAGGTGCATTATAACTAGCCACTGGAGTATTTGGGAAATAATTTGTATATGTTAGAGGCTGAGTGCCGACGGGAGCTGGAGGCATCGGCTGTTGCAACCATATTTCGTTGGCTGAAAAGGATGCTGCAGGCGGGGGAGGCGTGACCTGATGAGTTGAACCATTGCTGGAGCCATTGTTATTCACCGCTCCATTACCTACAATGGAGCTTGTATTGTTATGAGTCTCCGCGTTGGTTACAATAGGGGTCAAAAGTGAGCCTGCCGATCCATTCGCAACAGACGAAGCCACAGACACCGAAGGTTTTATCTCAGCCCCGGTATCGCCGGGCTCGTTTTTCACTGGCATGCAGGAGAGCGCGTGCTCACCAGATGAACTAAGAGTGAACTAATTAGAACGAACCAAGGCGAGCAAGCAGTTTTAAATACCCTTTCTGAAATCTGATTGGTACATTGACCTGATTGGTCAAACGCGTCCAAACACATTGAACCAATAAGGTAAATCGAATATTGGAAAACACAAATCGCAGCTGAATCAAATCCCTTAACATATAATCTGAATATACAATATATATATATATATATATACATTAATGACAGGGGGGGGGATTGGCATAAATAGAATAATATTGTATCCAGACACAATAGTCTTACGGCAGACTGGAAATCAAATTTAGCGACATTGATCATAGAATATAGTTTAGATGCTGCAAAACAAGCCTGATATTTTTAATGCAGTAAACTGATGGGAATCAGATATCATCCTCGTTATTTATATGTACTGATTACATTGCATTAGTGAAGTTCCTATCGATATAACAATATTTACCTTACGTTAATGGAAACATATCAGTTCGGTTTGATTACCTCATCGGCACTTGAATACATGATTATCGTTAACAATATGGTTTCTAAAGTATATATTAACATGAACATAGCCTTTTGCTTAAAAGCAGTAGATTCCTGCTACGTTTGAGTATTGTTACCACAGCATCAACTGAAAATGATTCAGGGTGAAGTCTTTTAGCTGAGTGACTTTAAAGTATGTGGCTTAAAATACAATTGCTATTTGATCAAGCTTATCGAGATAACTTACAGTTTATGTAGGCAAAAAAGGTATGCCTTGAAAGCCCACCATTACGATTAGTATCGGCTAATGAATGGGATGACAGAATTCAAGTTCCTCATTAAAGGCCACATGCTCCTACGATTTTAGCAGAGGTGAGCAGTGAAATTATTCTCCTAAAAGGGTTTGAGTGTTAATAATTCCACATGGCATAAATCCACTGCAATGGATCGCAAAGACGCACGCGTCCAGGAGAATCTCGGCCGAAAAAGTGAGGTAGTGATAAGACAGCAGGTCCTCTTAAGGCAAAAGAATTCGCCCTCCACATGTCCTCACTATCGTTTTGGCCTCAGTCTTCAGGTCTCCCCTCTGGTTGGCGGTGAACGCTTCATCACCTAGCCCTTAAATAAGGACGGCCAGGACATTTCGTCTTAAGAGATCTTCCCGCAGTTGCTCATCTTCTTGTACAGCTCCAAGGGCACCTTGATGAAGTGCGCAAGTGTAAAGGGAAGTAAGTTCGACGTTTACTCCAAACTCAGTGGTGCTCAGAAGTGAACCTATACACCCGTATTCGGTTTGGGGGCAAATAATTCAATGTAGAGGCATCGAGAAGGCAAGATTCAGACATCATTGCTTAAACTGCCTGCTTGCCGAAAAGTCCTGAAAGAGTAAAGTAAAGCTACGTGAAATTCTATCTCTCAAAAATTAATTAAATTCAATAATTTGCGAAGCCAATACATGAATGGAATATGTTTGAAGCATGAGTTCATGGTTGCCCTTGTTTTGCAAGCCTTAAGGTCACACAATAGTTATGTGCTTTTCACGTTATTGTTAATTAAATCTGGGGTAGGTTTTAGTACACTTTTGGTAAAATGAATGAAATTTGTAACACTAATCTGGTAACACAATTTTATCGCTGCAATTGATGTAGTATCTGGGGCGTTTTGAAAATTCTTTAAAAGTTTGGCATTTATAATTTGAGAACTATTAAAGTACTGAAATGATAGCTTACTGACTAAGTTTGAAATTGAAGGAGTGAATATTGCATGAAAGGATGCAGATTTGCTTCATCTGTTTCATTTTGAAGTGGGGCTTGGGAGGGGGGGGGGTTAGACGATGTGACACGAAGGCCAAACTACGTTTAACTAAGTTGAGTAGAGCCTTTTGAGTCTTAATTTGTCTGACGAATAATCCATCAAATTATATTTCAGTTAGGGAGGTGTGCGATTGTCTTACCACCACGTGATGCACCTTTGGCAACGTATACTCATACGGCAAAAAGTCAACAAACAGGCAGTTGATTTCTAACTTCAAACTACCATGACCCCACTGTATCTCATATTCGACCACTCCCACAGAACTCATTTAACCTCTTCTCTGCCTTTTTGACTGTCTGTCTCTTACACCTGTGAAACATTCTTCTGCTCCTCCTCTCGACTTGTTCTCACTTTGATACTCCTCCCCTCTATGAAGCCCGAAGTCAGATAAAGGGCTGATGACAACTACCATGAGGCCTGGCTCTTGATATGAATAAAAAGTACAGTTAAGGGAGAGTTGAATTTGAGCCAACATATGAATTCGATATGACGTCGCAATATGTATGTGATTGGCACGTATGAGGCTCTGTGTAATTCTTGCGTGCCTTCTTGAAGTCTCTCCACATCTTAAACGGTAACTTGAATTAGGCTGCTCAGGTTAAACTAACCTGAATTTATCCTTATTCAATTCTTTGGCCTCAGGTTTAGGTCTTAGTTTTGGTTGGTTCGTGGCTAGAAGGTGTTTAAGTACAAAATATCGAATTGTATAATACGCATTTCACTTTCACTATATCACCTTAGCCAGTGCTACTGATCTCGTCTGACGTATTGGCATCTTGGATTTAATCTTAAATCAACTTTTTCAAAAACCGTAAGTGAATCTTTTGCCAATATCGTTCGAAGACCACAATTTCCATAAGTTTAAATTTTATTTGATTCTTAAATCTTATCGGTTTGTTTTCCTATCTTATGTTTTCTAAACAGGCATGTGTCGAGAGCTCTGAGATGTTTACACTTTGCCCATTTGTATCAACATTTAGCACTCTACTTCAGTCTGAAGTAGTCTTCAATGAAACGAAGTTTGACCACACCTGATTTCTGTAAGTTAATCAATTTAGTGTATACTTTCTAGTCTAATGGACTTTTATTACACAAAGGGCTTGAATGGAGCTACACACACAAAATTAGCGGTTGCGAAATAGGTCGAGGAGTTGAATGGAATATAGGCAATGCATAAGGCACTGGATATTCATTTCAAGTCAGTGCGTTTCATCTTGATATACCAAAGTTGGAGCGCTGCTGACTTGCTTTGAGTCCTTGACTTTCAGAGTTTGTTAACCAGTTAATTGTTTTTTTGTGATTGATTGTGCTAATTTGATTCATATTTTTTCCCACCACCACGAACTTTCTTTAGAATAGGCGCATTCTGCCCAGGCCATATTTCTAAAATCCTTCCCTATTCTGTTTCTCCAGAACTTATGTCGTCATCAGTATTGCTTATTTAATCCGTTTACACTGAAGATGAGGACTGCTTATGACCATCCTAGATCACTCGGTTGTTTTAGCATTTCCACCACCTACATTATTTCCCTCAAAGCGTTGCTTTACATTTATATAATTTATACGACTTTTCTGTATATATTTGAAAATAAAAATGATTTTATTGTTCACCGATCTTTCTTAAACTTATTTTCTCAGTTACTTTATTTCTTTCCTTATCTAATATACTAACTTCTTTCTGCACAATTTTTCATTCAATTGAATTAGCAGTTAACAGTGAAAACTCAGTTTCTATACCATGGTAACTAAGATGGTAATTTGGATGAAATTTAACTAAGAAACAAAGCTTCCCATACTGCTTGTTTTTTTAAGTTGAAGTTCCTTTGTCAATAAACGCATAATTTCTAGGGACCTTTACAAGCCATTGTCGATAATTTGCTTTCAATTAACTTAATTGAGAATTGTGGCGTGGATAGATATTACTAGGTAATTCCTTAAACCCACAGTTCTAACGCATCCTCGTGCTAGAGAAAGATTACATCCCATTGCAAATTTTAAAATCGCGTTTTGAAGACAATTAACGTCTTATTTTCCCAATGGTGTAAAGAATATTTCTATGAGCGGCCAAGCCGGAGGAACGACACAATTTGACTTACGTTTAGCATAGCTTTCTTTAGATGTGCTCTGCAATTCTCTTGTGCTCTTTTAACTACACTAGGTAGCAATTAAAAAAACCATTGCATATAATTTAATTGCAGCGGAAGGCATTTTGATGAAAAATCAGCCTCTTTTCTACCATCTTATTGGGAAACTAGCAATTTCAATGGGAGGAATTAGGCCCACTCGGGTTATGTGGGCCTTAAAGGTTAGAAATACTTTCTGTAATAGATCCAATTTTCGGTCAAATTTATTTTGATTACATTAGGTCTTGTTAATTATCTATAAAACTGGGTGTTCATAAAATGAGTTTATATATCTATTCTCTCCCCATGAACCCATTAGCAGACACTGATGTAGTGTGTTGCGCCCAACTGTTCGACTACTTCAGGAAATCAAACACCCCTAAAGAACAAATGCGCTCACTGCCCCTTGAGACAATCAATGTCAACTATCCTGCAGATCAATGGCTCCAAGCCAACACTGATGGGTCTTACATAGAAAACCAATCAAACGTTGGTGCAGGTGTCTATTCCGAACTCTTCTCTTTTTTAATCAGCAGCGGGACACAATAGATCCGCTTTCGAACGAGAAATAGAGGCCATTAGGATAGCACTATGTCAATTATGTTGCCTG